AATTTTCATTTTGTATTCTTCATTTTCTTTATCTAGAGTTCTGGTTCTCTTCATACCAATATCCTCTCATTTTATACAATCATATTTCCATGAACTGTGAACTAATTCAATTATGCTAGGTAATTATTTCTACACATTCCTCACATTTTCATATTCTCTTATTAAATGTAACTTTAAACCCTAATGTTTTATTATGTATCTATATCCTGAATACAAAGTACAAAGTGCCAACTATATTATCATCAATTAATCTCTAAATCCTTGTGTTGCCATTGAGCCCCATTTATCTGATAAGTATGAAATCACACAGTTCCATTCTTTTGTAAAGTTCTCTAAATTGCCATCAAACATTAATCTTGTCAGCCTATCTATTTCAGAGATGTTGTATATTTTTAGCATCCATTCTTTTATTGTTGGGAACTTATCTGATCTCCATAGTTGAGTGAAGATCATTCTTGCTGCTATAATTAAATGAAATAATATCCTTTCACATTTTTATCTGTTTCAGAATCAACAATATTTAGTAAAAACAATTCTGGTTTGAGCTCTATATTAATTTGGAAAATCTCTTTTAACGTTTATGTACTCTTAACCAGTATTTTTTAACTTTTTTACAGCTCCACCAAATGTGAAAAAAGGTTCCCTTTTCTTTTACACATTTCCAACAAGTCCATGCCATATATCTTAGAAAGTGTCTCTGGTGTGAGATACCACCTGTAGAACATTTTGTAATAATTTTCTCTAATATTTTGACTTTTTGTGTATTTCAGCCTTTTATACCATGTAGTTTCCATTGTTCTAAATTTATTTGATGAACTATATTTTGCACCCAGCTAATTATATATTTTTATTATTTCTTTTTTCATTTCAGTTTGTAACAGATATTTATATAGTTTTGACATCCTCCCTTTATTTTCTAATTCTAATATCTTCTCTAGTTCTGTTTTTTTTTAATTCTATTCCTTCTTCTTTATAATCTTGTTTAAATCTTTCCATTAATTGTCTTAATAGATACCAATGTTATCTCTATTCCTTCTTTTAGAAGTTCATCTTGTGTTTTGAACCTGTATCCCTCACCTTGTCGGACTATTAAGTCCTTATATCTTAGCCATTTTTTAATTCTTCCCATTTCTTTTCTGAAAAAGGCTTCGTGTGGTGATGTTTCCAGTGATATTTTATTTCCTAATTTCCCTCTATATTTTTTCTATACTTTTAATAACGGTTTTCTCATCCAATGGTTATTAAATTCCTTATTGGCCTTTATCTTATCATAGTATAAATATCCATGCCAACCAAATAAGTTACCTGAGCTTTCTAATTAAAATAATTTTTTATCTTCCAGATTTATCCACTCTTTTATTGACATCAGACAATTTGCTTCATAATATATTTTAAGGTTAGGTAGAGATAGGCCCCCTCTCTCTCATGGATCTTGTAGGGTTTTAAACCTTACCCTTGGTTTCTTTCCTGACCATATGAATTGCAATATGTCTTTATTCCAGTTATCAAAGGGTTTTCATATATATCACAGGAATATTGGAAAACAAGAAAATCATCTTAGGAAGTACACTCATCTTAACTGTTGCTATTCTACCCAATAGCGATAGCTTTAAGGTATTCCAGTTTTCCAGATTTCTTTTGATGCCAGCCCATGTCTTTTTATAGTTATTTTTATACAAATCAGCATTTATTTTAGTTATCTCAATTCCTAAGTGTTTTACTTTTTTATTTACACTATATCCCGCCATTTTTGACAGCTCTATCTCCTCTTTTTCTGGCATATTTTTAGTTATCATTTTTGTTTTTTCTTTATTAATTTTTAGTCCAGAGATTTCCTCACCAGCATGGCCAACCAGAAGTCCCGAAGCTATATCTACTTCATAATAATTAATAAGAATATCTGAAAGACTCTCCTTAGAAAAAGTATTTGACAGGTAAGGAATAAGAAAGATTGTCTGATTTTTACTCCCTACATTCACATTTCTTGAGATAAATTTTCTTTGCAAAATTCTGATTCCAATGATGAAGCCTGCTGCTTTAAATATTTCCTTAGATGACTGAATCAAATATGAGATAAATATCTTAATACTACTACAAACTTTGCTTCATGCACAAAATTACTTTAAAATATTGTGTGTAAAATTACCTTCAGGTTATGTGCTTAAGGTGTATATGAAACATAAATGAACTTCATGTTTAGATGAGTGTCTCATTTCCAGAATTATGTACATGCAAATATTCAAAAATCTCCCAAAATCTGAAATCCCAAACACTTCTGGTCCCAAGCATTTCAGATTAAGGGAGACTCAACCTGTAATACTATTAATAATATAAACCTCTAATTTGCCAATTTCTTATTTGTATGGCTACAATCTTGCACTTCTTTATAGATGGGCTTTGTTGGAAATGGGATTTTATAACTGATGGCAGGAGCATACCAGCAAGGCTCCATGAAGCCACATAAAGGGTTACCGTATTTCAGGTTATGATACTATAGGAGTACTGGCAAGACTTGTCAAGAAGGCAGGAAAGGACAGTAGCATAAGACCAGAACCCAAGTCAGCTGCCTGTGGAGCAAGTCTGCAGAATGTTCCAAGGAGGAATCAGAAGAGAGGGTTGCATCTTATCTAAATAAAAAAAAAATTTTTTTTAGAAAGTCTTTCATGAAAGACATGTTCAACCACATTGGCTCCTGGTGCTACCCGCCCATAGATCCAGGTATGTTCTTGTTTCAGTCCTGCAATTTGAGTCTGTTATTACAACTGTGATGTAGGATAGAAATGCTAGATCTATGTATGTGTGCTCTAGAGAGTGCACACTGTTTTGGAGATCAACTCAGGAGCCCAGGGTTCAGTAAAACTGTACCATTCCACCCTGTACCATTAAAATAGGTCATAATTAAAAGAAAGACTTACCACCCATCAGGTCTGGCAGAGCATGCCGCCTCGTTGCTAAGTTTCCATTACATTGTTGTGAGCATGGGGGATGTGAATTACAGACTTCCATTATGGAAATATCATTTGAGATGTGTTGGCATTTCTGTACTCATTCTACATTTCTGTATCATCAAAGAAAACTTTCCACATCCTTTGAAAAGCTGTGCGGTTTTCTTATGTTGTAATCATTTCTGTACAGTTATAGTGCAGATCCATATGAGCAGCTGGAGGAGCCATTTAAGTAAAGGAAATAAACTAACGGAGGGAATTGCATTTTAATTCCTCTTTTCCCAACACACACAACAGTGGAGGTAAGCAGTACATCTGATGTTACTTTAAGACTTTATTTCAGTGCCTCATAATAATAAAATTTATTTTCGTCATTGAAAAGCTAAGTACTAAAAAGTGCTGAGTTTTCTAAATGAATCCTTTCATGATACATCTCTTTCTTCCTAATTTCTCAATTTAATGCAGACTTACTTTGTATTACCAAATTATTACATGAAGGTTGTTCAAGTCAGCTACTAAATTGAAGGTGAGGTAGCTGTGCAGATGCACTATAGAAATAATGTAGTTTAACACCACTTTAAGTCCTGTAGCTCCATCCTATGGGATCCTGGGATTTCTGGTTATGCAGGGTCTTTAACCTTCTCT